TGTAAGAAAGATACACTCATTCTTTCAATATGCCTTAAGATAGATATTAATTATGTATTATTATGCTGAAAGTGTAAAGGTTATTGTATAAAGGATTATATGCATGTATCTGTTTTGTTTGGGGTCTAATTACTATTGTAAATGAAGTATATTGTATGAAGCATATATGATAGATATGTGTGTATTATTTTATTATGGTTTGATTACTATTAAAAATAACATATACTATTTAGAGTAGATAGAATGGACATGTATATATTCCTTTGTTTGGAGTTGATTGTTAACATTAAGTAAAGTGTATGATTGGAAAACAATGATGCATTTATATGTTTATCCATCTCCTTTGTTTCGGTTTGATTGTTATTATTAAGGGATTTGTGTATTTTGGAATGACAATATTACGTTTATAAGATCATTCATCTACACTGTTTACATAGACAAAAAGGGAAAGTCAAGGCAACCATCTGGCACAACTGCAGAATGCTTGTATCTAGGTTTATGAAAGAAGCTTAAGGGTAATAAAAAGGGGATGGCCCAATGGTGTGGAGTAGCTCATCGCAGTCGGGTCACGTTGCCAAAGAGTCCTTATTAATCCTAACGTGGGCACCCATTGCTAGGGTCATGGCAGGTCCATTCCTAAAGACTACCTCAATGGTATGGGTCGAATGACAAGTCGAGAATGAAATGTGCTAATTAGTAAGGAATGGAGTCCTTCGATCGCTTTGACTGGAGAGACGATGAAACCTTGAGAAAATGTAGACTATGAGTAACATGCATTGCATCCTTTGAAATTGTCTAAACTTGTATGAATATGAGGTATAATTCAATAAATTCTTAAATGATAGCATTATGAGAATGGTTGAAGGTTTTGTTTGACTTACTTCAGTTCAATTATTGTATTTATAGTATGGATTATTATTATTATTTAGGACTCACCCTCTGGTTTGTTTCTTTCCTTTTGACTCTTTTTGTCTTGTTTTATATGTCTGCATTTCAGATGTGCACTGATTGAGTGAAGATCTGAGTGTTGGACAACGAGGAGGAAATGTGGTTGTACAAGCCTCAGGCTAACCGACACATCTTATGGGGGCCTAGTCACCATAAACGTTGGACCTGTAACTGACAAGGGTTGGAAGTCCTACTAGAACGATAGTCTTTTAGCTGAGATCTTTATTCCAATGAGAAAGACAGAATGACACCTACCTGTTTCCTCTTCTACCTCTCCCGTGAAGCCTATAAACTAAACACTGCCTTTTGACTCTCCTAGAGACCTTGATAAAGGAAAAGCCTCTATGGACCTTGAACCTTCACCTATTCTCGAACCAGAACCTATTCCCGAACTAGAGTGGAAGAAGATAGTTGTTGTTGAATAGTCTATCCAACTTGTTCCTCATCACTCCATAAGAGTTCCTTCTTCGCCTTTAGATGAAGCGGGACCCTTTGTAAGACGCCCATCACCATCTCAATATTAAGTGGCTATCTCTCATTCACCACCTCCTATAGTTGGATGGATAGATAGCGATGACGACCTGCTACCTTCACCCCGACCCTAAGCAAGAAACGATCTGCCTTCCTCCAATGGGATGGAGTTTGACCCTAGTGAAGACTCCCTCTTATTGGAGTACTTCATGTAATTATGTTGAGTCATGGATTAAATATTGCTCATAGGATGAGTTCATTTTGCTTGTTTTGATATACTATACGTTAGGGGTTTACTTTTGATATAAACTTGTTGAAGAATTTTGTTTGGATGAATATGTTTAAACTATTACTCTTTTATAATTATATGCATGCACTTCTGTATTACATTTATACCCTTGTATAGTTGTACTTTCTATATACTCCATCCCTTTTGATGTGGTTAATTATTAGTGTCGATCCATGCTATTGTATATTATGCTGAAACTTGGTCAAGAAGTGAGAAATAAATTCCACAGGGACTTCTATTGAGAGTGATGATGTTCATAGGTGCCATGAATAATGGATGAATAAGAACAATGTATGTTGAAATCCCTGTTTTCCTAATATTGAGATGGTTAGTTATTCATATTTACCATAATTTGGGTCCATTACAGGATTAACACAATTGATTTTTGTCTAGATGAAAGGATGCTACCTAAATGTAACATTTTCCTGTAATTACTACGACTACAAGAAGTTGAAATTGAGGAATAATCCTCTGATAATAGAACTTGAAATTTGTGAGATTTACTTCATATATTACCTAATTACTTGATTATAAATCTATGTTACGTGCATTTATAGATACGTCATATGGTTGTTCTTTGATGTGACGTATTGCTCTACCCGAGTAATGTCTTGGAGTAGTAGTTTAGTCATAACAGTTTAGTGGTATCAAAGCAATTCAGTCCATTTGGCCTTGGGTATGATTCTGATTGTTTGAAATCTTATGATTGATGTGTTGAAACCAATTGTCTTATAGCTATAAAATTTTTTGATAAATTCGACTGTCTTACGTGCCTGTGACTTATTTTTCAAAGTTTCATGGCTAGGAAATAGAGGGATGAGACCATTGATGCTCTACTCGAAAGGGTAGTAGGCATTTTAGAGAGACAGCACAAGCCAACTCCTAATTGCGGGCTATTCGAGTTCTGTAAGAACAAACCTTCCTACTTTCGTGGCGGGTTTGATCTAAATGCACCCCAACTTTGGCTAAAAGAACTAGAAAAGATCTTTGAAGCCATGGCATGTTCAAATGAAGAGAAGGTTACTTATGCCACCTTTATGCTCATAGAAGAGGCAAAGCATTGGTGAAGGATTACTCGCCACCAACTAGGAATAGAAGGAATTATTTCTGATTGATAGACCTTCCGTTGCAGATTCCTAGGGAAGTACTTTCTTGAAGATCTTAAAAGGAAAAAGGAGTTGGAATTCCTGAACTTGAAACAAAGGAATATAAGCGTAGGCAAGTATGTGACTAAGTTTGATGAATTATTGAGGTATTGTTCCTACTTCATTAATGCAGGTGATCAGGCCCGATGTTCCAAATTTGAGAGCGAACTTCGACCTGATATCAAACAGACAATTAACTACCAACAAATCATACATTTTCAAGAATTGGTGGATAAGTGCTGAATTTACGAGGATGATACTAAGGCGCGACAAGTAGCGTGGAAGAATGTTGGGCCATCAGAGGCGTATAAAGAACTCAAATTTCAAAAGAAAGGAAATCCATGACCAGAAGAAGCCATATACCCACCCTAATCGCTAACAAGGAAATAATCCTTTTGGTGTTAGGTGACTAAATCACGAAGATTTGAGGCAATTGAGTATGGTGTTTCAACTGCAAAGGCCCTCATCTCAAGAGAGTGTCGCCATGATCCTATGACTTGTTTTAGAGCTGGACAGGGGGTCATCTTAGTCACTTTTGTGTATGCTCACTTGTTCAAAGTCTTTTATAGCTTACTTATTTGATTCAGAGATTGAAAGAACTATATGAAGATGTTCGAAGGGCAAGTGTACCCATTAAGAAGTAATAAAGGGTTCTAAAATAAGTTCCTGAAATATTGTCCCACAAAGATTGATTTTCAATTACTAAGAATTTTTTACTTTAGCTGTTTGAGCCTAAAAGATGTGAAATTAAGTAAGAACCAGAATTTAATTATAAAATTAATTATTAATAAAAGCAAATAACACAACACAAGTCTTCGTTGAACTTATAAGAGAGAAACTTAGGACATATGAGTTTTCTCATTCAATCTTTTATGTTATTTTTCTGTTTAACTCTAAATTTGATTTCTTTGTGATTACCAACCATTCATACAAATACTATTAATACCCAATGATTATGCAATACTAATATTCTTTTCTCTAAATTAATATCTCCAGTGATCATGCAAGACATCAATTAAAAAAAGCATAAAGTACCTATGAATTTGTTAATTCAATAACGATTGGAAGAAAAAGATTAGTTTGTTCTACCTAATCCTTTGTCTCGTTTTATCATATAGATCTATTAACTAATCGAGGTACGGTTGCCTGATGATATAATTAATTAAGATTATAATTATGCGCAATAGGATAAAAGCTAATCACGAACGGAAACCAAATATAGATTCAAACTTTAAAATCCTATAAATTCATGAACAATAGGTCTCATAGCCCTAGCTATGGACTTAGTACTCATGCTAAAGAGAAGAACTAAAACAATCATAAACAAAGCCATAAAGAAAAGCAAACTAGAAGGAGATAATTTTTTGGTCTTCAAGTATGGTCGCTCGAAACTCCAAGTCTCACCAAGAGTATGTCAACAATCTCGTGCAAGAGAGACAAGATCAAAGATGTATCGATGAGTGAAAGGAAAGATGTCAAACTTGGTGCATAATGTCTCTCTTTGATAAGGTTTAAAAACCTTAAAAGTTCTTCATTAATTGGGCTTAAAGCACTCTCGTGCTTGCTGAAAGAGTTTAGGCCTGCTGACTATTGCGAAGCCCTAATTTTATATCAGTTTGGGCCCAAAACGCATCCAAAATTCACTTGTGGCCTCTTTATACTAAACTGCACAATTAATATATAAATTAGTGTAAAATTCAAATAAAATAAAGGTCAAACATAAATATATGAATCGTAAAAGAGGGTCTAATTAAAAACTTATCATTGAGAAAGCAAAAGATGGCAGAGGGAAGTAGATCAATTCAATATTGCATCACACTCTTTGTTGGAAACATCATAGCCCTTGGTGTGGAGGTCAACAATTTTGAGCTAAAGTTAACTTTGATTACTATGGTTCAAAACTCTAAACAATTTGGAGGAATATTTAATGAAGACCTTAACTTCCATCTAACAAAATTTCTCCAGCTTACAAACACCATAAAATATAATGTGGTCACTAATGATGCTATTAGGCATCACTTTTTCTTATTCTCTGTCAAGGAAAAGGTGAATACATGGTTTTCCACGCTCCCAACAGGCTCCATCACAAAATAGGAGGATCTAACTAAATAATTTTTGGAAAATATTTTTCCCCATTTAGATTTGCTAAGCTTATGATAAAAATTTTATGTTTTCAGTAGTATGAGTCAGAATCCCAATTTTAAGCGTGTGAATGATTTGAAGAACTTGTGAGGATGTGCCCTCACCATGGTTTTCCTATGTGGAGATAGATGCAAATCTTTTATAGTGACCTATCAGTCTCCAATAGAGTCACAATTGATTTGGTAGCTCGAGCAACCCTCATGAGAAAAAAATCAAATGAAGCATATAAATTGGTAGACAAGATGACCTTTGTTAGTTTTCAGTGGCACATAACTGACCCTTTCATATGCAAAACGAAGGAAACCATTTTGGTCTATCTAGTGGAGAGTAAAAACCCATTAACAACTCAATTAGAAGCTCTGACTACGTAAATGGTGTCTTTAATGAGAGTACAAGGATAATCAATAAAACCACCTGCAGCTTCTTTATGTGAGCATTGTGGCTCCTTAGGCCACGATAACAACAACTATCCAGTTACTAAAATAAAATAGCAAGCTAATTTTATGGAGAACAATTACAACTTAGGATGGCAAAACAACCCTTCTAACTCTTGGGCAAATGACTTTGGAAACCAAAATTCAAATGTTTATCACCCTCTACATATACAAAATTGAGGAGAAAGACTAGAGGAGAAGGAGGCCCTTAGATCTCAGTCTAACTTTCAAGAGATAATAATGCAATATGTGTATTATTTCTGATAAGAGGATAACAAAGCTTGCATCTAAGTTGGAGCGACATATTGAAAGGGATGATAAAAGGTTTGCAAAGATAAAATCAGAGATGAGAACATAATCTTCAAAGATTGAATCACAATTGGAGGAAATCATTAATCTTTTGAGTCAAAGAATGCTAAGAACATTATCAACCCAACCCGAACATAATCCAAGGAAGTAATGCAACATCATCAACATCATCACCCTTAAGAGTGGAAAGAACCTTGAAGAAACGCATGACAGGAAGGTGAACACGCTCATTTTTACTGATACACATGTTTATGCATCACCAAGCACACCACTACTCCTAAAGAAGCATAATCGTACTACGACCAACACGCTTATGATGATGTAATAAGGACTAACATGCACCCAGACATACAAGGTCGTGCTTCAAGTGCAGAGCCTAAAGAAGAGAAGAAAGAAGAACCTTTTGCGCAACAAAGGCCCTATGAGCCTAGAATATATTTTTCACAAAGACTATAGGGCCAACCCCCTTATGACCCAGAGTTCGACAAGTTCTTGGATATTTTGGGCAGAGTACACATCAACCTTCGTTTTGTCAATGCAATATCTAAAATGCCAAAGTATGCCAAATTCCTGAAAAAAATCTTAAGCAATAAAAGGAGGTTGAACAAGTGTGAGATTGTAACTTTAACCAAAGAGTGTTCAACTATAGTCCTTAAAAAGCTTCTGCCCAAGTTTAAGGACCCAGAGAGTTTTACTATCCCTTGCACTAATGGAAAAACTCATATTGATAAAGTCTTATGTGATTTAGGAGACAGTATCAACCTTATGCCTTATTTTGTTTTTAGGAAGCTTGGGATGCACAAACTTAAACTGATATATGTGTCACTTCAACTGGCAGATAGGTCAATCACATTCCCTAAAGGCATAGTGAAAAATGTGTTTGTGAAGGTTAGAGAGTTCATATTTCCTGTTCATTTTGTGGTTCTTGACGTCCCTATCATCCTAGGCAGACTCTTCTTGGCTACTGTAAGGGCCATCATAGATGTCTAAGAAGGAAAACTCACCTTAAGGTTAGATGATAAGGAAGTTATTTTTCAAGTTTTCAATTCTCTAAAGTACCCTACTAGCTAAGAGTCTTGTAACTTTGTGAGCACTGTAAATATTGTTTCTCTTCCTTTAAATTTTGTGCAGCATAAAACTCCAAAAAGAAGACCAAGGAACAAGCAATTAAGGATGAGGAGAAACAAAAGCTCAAATTACCCGTTGATAAACCCCTAGATTTAGATCTTAAATTTTTTTTCTCTTTATTTTAATTCTTCTCCTTTTTCCTTTCCTATAATTAACCCTTTTGATGTGACGTGTTATGGAGGAGAAACTGCCGGGAAGAGAACAACATATCAAGGGAGTTACCTCTAAGATTCATGTATTCTTCCCATCGTAATCTTACAAGATTGTGAGGCTCATGACTTTAAACAAGCGCTCCCAAGTGACAACTTGCATCTTTCATTTCAATTTTGTTCTCTTTCGTTTATTTTAATTTTATTTTTGTTTTTTTAGGATGAAGAATAAGGATAGTAAAAGATCAAAAGAGTTAAGTTGATCACTACTGCACACACATTTTGAGCTCTGATTCATAAACATGTCCGTACTTATTAGCATGCATGGCCGTGCATATAGTCGTAGTTAGAGAAGAAGGGTGATATAGCTTTATCGAACACTTATCAAATGCACAAGGTTTTTGCAATTATTTGTAGAATAATGTCAACCAAGGTTGAATTCTCGAGGACATGTTTGTATCTAATTCTTCTTTGCCGAATTGTTAAAATGAAACAAAAGATTGGGGAATTTTGAAAGTTTAAGAATAATCTGATCAAACGCATAAAATTCTGGAATAAAAGAGAAATCAAATGAGAATTAATTGATCCACAGGTCATAGGTTCATGCAAACAACATCCTTCATTATTTCCCTAGTTTGAACATCTAATCCATTAACTAATTCAATCGAATTTGCTAACAAACTAGATTACGAATTTGACTAATAGATCTATCAATCTAATTCAATTTCATGAATCAAACTACAATCGCAATTCAATTCAATTCCTATCCCCAAACATTATCAATATCTTGAAAACAAAAGAGAAGAGAAGAGAAGAGAATTCAAACTTAGAGTCACTCTGAATCTTCCTTGCAATTCCCTATTCCTTGTGTATCAATCCAAAAAGCCTAGCCTTTCATTGAATCCAATGCTCAGCCAAGTCAAGAAGAAAGAAGAAGAAAGAAGAAAACGAAAAGTCACACCAAGAGAAGAGAGAGAATTCGAGACAGAATTTTAGGAGCCAAAACTGAATTTAAAAAAAATGTGTAAAAAAAACAAAAACAAAACGTTTGCAAAGTGGAGCCTCTAACATATTAATAGGCACCACTTATGATCAAATCCAACACTAAAAGGAAGGTCCCAAAAGTGTGATTAAACAGCCCAAATTACAAGCTAATGAAATGTTAATACAAATAAAATGAAATTACAAGAACAAAATTCGAATACAAAAATTCCTGCACAATTTTCCTAACTTCAAAAATTTATAGAAAATAGAAAACAGCTCCAATTTGGACGATCTGCATATGAATTTTATAGCCCAGAAAATGAGGAATCCAATGAAACTGGAATCAGACCGAACGGACATCTGTGGAAAAAGTTACTATCAAAACAGTGAGTGTAGGTCTAAAAACAGAATTTAGACATTAATTGAAATTGAGTTTCTATCATCCAATTAATTAGGAAATGCCATAATTTGTGAAATAAGGGAACATAAAAGGTAATTTACACACTCTAAAGGATTGAAAATGTGCACAAATAATGCATGCTATCAAAGGGTTCTATTTTATAAGCATAGGCGCGCGTGTGGTTTAGCTTGTCATGTGCATGGTCAAATTTTAATACTAAATGTTAAAATGGAATCATATAAATCATTTTTACTTCTCAATTCATACATAGCAATGATAATGGTAGACATAACAACAAATGTGTTAGTGATAACAATTATATTTATGGTAATATCAAGGTGACAATGGGGATAATGATTATAGTGGTGACAATATAAATAATAATTAAGATAGTGTGACAATAATAGTTGTAGGGATAATAATAATAATAATAAAAATAATAATTATTATTATTATAATAGTAATTATGATCACAATAAACTACTGGTAGTGATAACGACAATCATAGAAGTGATACTTGTAGTAATGATAACGAAGATTGTTGTGATAAAGTTAGTAATAAGCAAATAATAATCTTGTCAAGCACACTAAGTAGTGTAATAATAATAATAAGCACACTAAGTAGTGTAATAATAATAATAATAATGAGAAGAGTGATGATAATAATAATTATTATATACTTTTAAAAGAGATGAGAGTTGTATAATTTTTTTTTTTAGTTAAAAAATGGTTTATATTTTTATTGTGTGTATTATTTATTTATTTTTAATTTTTAAGTGTTATATTTTAAACGAGTGACCATAAATTTTTTAAAAGAAATACATTATTTTCATAATTAAATTTTTTTAATATCAAATTATTAGATAAAAATAAATTTTATTGCTATTTTACTTTAATTTTTAACATCATAATGTTTATTAAATACTAAATTAATAAAAAAAACTATTCAAAACTTATAAGAAAAATAAATTATAAATATATTAATAAACTAAGCTCAAACTTTTAAACTATAAATATAAAAATTCAAAATTTAAATTTAACTCATTTAAATATTTCGATTTTTTATAATCCAAACTTAAACATGAAAATTTAGGCTCATCTTATCCCAGTTTCACCTGTGATTGCAGGCATCTCAATATTGCGGATAAAGCTACTTTTGGAAGTATAAAAATGCGTTTGTGATGCTTCACATATTGGTTTGGGGTTGATGATTCATTAAATGTAATGCATCAATATTGCATTAAATGTAAATCAATATCTTTGGGTCAGTTTGAGAAAAACAAGAACTGAAAGGTGAAGAATCAAAGCAAAGTCACCACTTTTAAGAGTGCAGTGCCCATTGTCATCAATATCAACCCCACATATCTAAGTTCTAGTTATACGTGCGTTTCTTCCCTGTCAATTTAGAATTGCAGCTTTTGTTAATCTTAGCTTTTAAAATTAAGTTTTAGTATTTTAAAATATTAAAAATATTTATTATATTAAAAATATAAAACTATATTAAATATTTTTAAAATACTAAAAATTAACTTTAATCTTTTTAAATCATCTGCAGAATTATAAAACCCACACTTTTTTAAAGCCCACTTATAATAGATTAAACAAGATCAGTTTGGTCAACCAAAGAAAGGAAAAGTTTGAGATTTTTTTTAAGAATTAATTTCACTTGTAATGTTCATATTTGAGTCTGTGTTATTTTAATTTTTCT